GCAATACGTATCGTATTACAAGTCTAGATAGTGTATTAATGAATGGACCTCAATGAGTTAACATTAACGTTAAGACATCAATGAACCACAAAATTTGCTATATTGATAATCGGCTGATTTTTTTTAAAACTTAACCACTTTCTAAAAAGTGATACATAAAAAGTTAGCCAATAACAGATACAGTCTAGTACTCGGATCTGATTGGCCAGAACATATAATTAACACATGATTAGAATTAAATATGGTAAATTTTACTTTTGTACTTCCGGAGGAAAAAAAAATGACCCTACCTTCTCAATCATCGCTTCCGTCTACCAATCCTTTACATTTATACCGTCATACGCTTCGTTACCTTCGCTCACCCACACTACCATTTCGATATCTATCTCCAAAGCTTTGTTATAACGCAAGAGAATTATTTGAAATTCATCGTAACGAACAAGATCCGAAAAAAATTCAAGATTTGGTAACTTGGGGATGGCAAGATTTGGAATTTTTAAAAGCTTGGAAATTTGTTGAAAAGGAAATTTTAAATGAAATCTTTAGAGGATACGGGTCCAGTAAAAAATGACAAATACAATATATATATTTTTGTTGGAGTTATTAAGAATATTAATAAATTCTGAATACGTATAGGTTTGTTTATGTAATTTCTAATTTTGTACAATTACATAACACATTATTTACAAAATGTTGAAATGAAGGTTACATTTAAGATAATATAAAGAAGAAAGAATAAAGGTTAATGTTTCTCCGTGTATGAAAAGACCGTTATAGGAAATTTTACAATCAACATGATTACGTATACAAAAAATATAGTACAAATTTAGCTATGTTTTGAAAAAAAAATTAAAACTAACTGCTAACAAAAAAACGAGATAATAAATACTTACAGTATTATTATATCATGAATTCCCGATAAATCAATATGATCGCTGCTTATCGAATTTAAAAATTAGGTTTTACACGATAAAAGATCATTAGATCATAAAAGATAAAAGCAGAAAGAAACCATGCATAACAACAGGTTTTTTTTTTTTGTTGGTGACACTTTCAGATGTCTCGTAACTTTGTTAACCTGTTTGTAAATTGAGAATTGGTGTGTGCGTAATTACTATATAAACAAAAAATTTAATTATCTTTTAATTATCTAATTCTGTAATTACCTCGAAATTTGCCGACATCAAAAATTTATTAAATAATTTATTATACTATTATTATATACACATTGAATATTGAATACGTATTGGTATGTATTATATGTAATAGTTCGATAATATTATGCGCTAACATTATTACATTATTATAATAATTATAATCGTTTTAATAATAATTTCTAATCATTCTAATCATTCTAATCATTCTAATTAATATACGATAATTTATAAATACGTATATCATAAATATTGGTGTTGTAAAACAAATAACTATTATATATTTAATGATTGGTTTGACGTTTCTTTTATGTAAATTTGATTAGTGTATGTTACCTAAAAGCATTTCCTCAAATTGTACACAGAAACCATTTGTGTAATACAGTGATTTACGCCGGTAAATTGTTACCTTTTAAGAATTTTGCTCTAGAAAAAAAAATTTATACTTACCATTACGATAATGTATACTAAATAACAAGAAATTATCAGGTAAATCCCCATTCCAGTTATGTTAAGGAAAAAAATGGTAGTTTATTTAATTTTCTCTATTTATTCCAAAATTTTTAATTACTCTATCTCTTTAAAGTATA